GCACAGTTGCTTCTGTGCAGAGTTAGGGAGCAGTGGCAAAATACAGTGGCCAAAGCTATTCTATCAAAACCTGTCCACTTCCTTTCAGAGTGCTAAGGAGCCTGGTGTACCTGACACATGTTCTTCTTCTATGACTCTGGGCCACCTCCAAATGACAACCACAGTTTTTACACTAAACCCATGAAAAAGGAATGTTAATAAGTAATGTAAAAAATGTTATTGTAAGCCGAACCGCATTTACTCATCATGGAGAAAAGGGAAGTTTCCTATAAGAAGTACAGTACAAAAAATAACTGAATGCTTGCTTCGGAAGCAAGGTGCACTCTTAGGAAGCAAGGTGCACTTTCACTTTCAAACTGTTTCACCCATCAGACTCCCTCCTACACGGTTTTATTCAATGGGACTATTTTGCGCATTAGATCAGGAAAAAAGAGTGCCAAGTAACCTATTTATTGACAGTGGATTATTTGCACATAAGAAGAATCCCTGCTCTGCTAACAAGTCTCTCAGTAACCCCAGGTTCAGAGTGCCAAACAGTTTTATCAGCCTCTAATTAAAACAGTTTATGTTTTGTACTAGAAACATTGGTTTCTTTAATGATAGCTGTAGAGCAGCAGGAGTTGCCATTCCTAGTGATAGTACTTATTTACCTAATACTTTAGGATGTAACTTGTTAAGTTTTTATATAGCAGGTCAAAAGTACACATGCAACATAAAGGGAACGGTAACAATATGTAAAAGCTTTCACCTTTTTAAATAAACCATTGGGAATACCATATCTTTTAAAAATAATGAAAATAGATATGTTACAACTACAATTTATGGGCTTGGCAATTATTTTAACAAAGTGATGGACTTGAATGAAAAAAGCAATAAAAACCTACCCTTGTATTTATTCTTATTAAAATGGTGCCGTCCTTTGCCAGCAAGCCAAAAACAAGCAGAACAAAAATAAAATAATGAAAATGCCACATAAGAAGAATAGGGAAAAGTTGAGAATAAATATGTATTTGAATAATGAGAGCTATTACAGATAGACAAGAGAAGCAACTGATGGAACATGGTACAAATTGCTGGTTTAAAAAAAAACAACCCCAAGCACCTATTTTAAATCAAGATATTAATTCAAACGTATTACTTATTACATGACATAATCAATTATGTTTATCTACTAAATGCCAACTTCAATGCAGTTGGCAAGAACTATCACTAGTTATTTTGTCTGTTTTTAAACACAAATCAAGAATACCAGTTACTAGCTCTCAACAGATAGTTCAGGTCAAACTCTGCATCCTTGAATTTATGTAGATGTTTATACCATGCTTATGATTATGGTATGTAAGGCCTATGTAAACTTGTAGTGGGTATAAGTCCAAGCAGAATATCACCCTTTGAGTATAAACTAAACAGATTTTGTATACAAATGCTTACCTTTAAAGGTAAACAAAAGTTTACCTTTAAGGACAAAATTAAAGTGCAGATGACCACTTGCACATTAGCCAAACTGTGTATGATGGTGGCCCTGAGGGTGGGGATAGGGAGCATTTTTCAAATGTCATGATATTAAAATAAATTACAGTCAGCTTGCTGCACTGCCAAGATAGTAGTTCAACTGCTCATTAAACAGTGAACACTGTAAAGCTCAAAAACCAAGACTTTGGGAATCATTCCTGCTTACTGACTTAGGGGGAACACTGGCCAATCAAAAACAACAGAAGCGTTTGTTATCAAAAACAGGAACAAACACTGGTGTTTGTCAAAGTGGGAAAAAAGAAGTGTTTGGTGCTTCCCAGGAAGTGCCATGCAACTTACTGAAAAAAATAACTGAACACAAAGAAGCAATATGACATAATGTCAAAGTAACATAATAATGACTACATACTGTATATTCCCTTACTGATGCTATTACCTGCCTCTTCTTGTCATAGGTTACTTATTGCTAGAACCTATGCAAATATTTACACATAGGAGGTTATCTGCAGTGTAGAACAATTTACAACCACTTCAACATTGGCTTAAACCAAGCCCATTTGTTTCAGATGGGTGTACACCCAATCAATCTTACCCCTAGTTAAAAACTTTTATTTTCTGGCTTAAATGTGGACTTTATACCACCTAACATTAAAATGTGTCATTACTTTTAATATGGTAAATGGAGCCCTTAGTCATTGGGTGTGATTGAACTTCCATGGATTTTAAATGAGGAGAAAGGATTTTGTGGGAGGTATCTTTTATTGGAGCAACTGCATGATGGGGATAGACTTAGGCAAGCATTTGGGTAGCAGAATACCCTCTCTCAAAGGGTTTTGCTGCAGGAACAATGGAGTAGAAATATGAGGATTGGCCCCAGTGGGCGCATCCAGATGAGCGTGCATGTGCCTCTTGCCCCATCTCAAACCCCTGTTGTGGAGCCGTAACCCCTGTGTGGGGCTGCAGCCCCTGTGTGGGGGGCTGTAACCCCTGTGGGAGGGCAGCAAAATATATATTCATGTTTCATGAATACACGTATTTAGAGTTCACTTTATTAATATGATAGAGACACTGGTAGGCTTCTACATTGCTTTAACACTGTAGATATATCAATAAAACATTGCCCAACTGATCACTGTCTCTGTTTCACTCTCTCTGTCTCTTTATAGTGGTATTTTGATTTACTTGTGGAGGGACATAAATTTTGGGGTATTTTAGAGAGTGACTTTGGGATTTTTTTGTCAGGGATTTTTCAGTTTTCCAACAGGGAACACCAGAATTCCTGCTCGGGAGGCCAGTGGCAGGACCCTGCTTGCTCAGAGCTGACACCTTGGACCCAGCTGGCTGTAGCTGACCTGGCCAAATGGGGCCAGAAGGACATCCTTTGGCAGTTCAAAGCAGGCCACCACACCTGGAACATCTTCCAGGCGATAGCTGCCCAGATGGCTGGGCAGGGGGAACTCATGGCAGTAGTGCCGCACAGAGACCAACCCTGTAGCCACAGTCCACTGGCAGCTGGCCCAGAGGGGCAGATGCCTCTACTATCTGTGCAGTCCCCATCCGGGTTTGGCAGGTGAGCAGCAGGTCACAGCTAGGCAGCAGCCCCCACTGCCAGACTGCTGCAGTGGGTAAAGGGTGCAGGGAACATTCAGGGCTGCTTCAGCAATCCAGCTGGCACAAGGGGCAGTGTCCCCAGTGTCCCCAGTTGGCTGGACCTCAGAAGCTCCTGAGAGCAAGTAGCCCTGAGCTACTTTTGTATGGGTGGGGCCAGGACAGGGCAGCTTTTTATACTGCTGGGGACAGCACAGGTGCTGGACTCGGGCTCTAGTTCCCCCTGGCTGCAGATCCGGGAGGACCCAGGCAGAGCTGTTTTGCCCCAAGTGGCACCATTTGCTCCACAACAAAGTTCATGTCCAAGCACGTGCACTGAGGCAAACAGCCCCAGCTCAAATTTGCACCGCTTCTATTTGAGCTGTTGCAAGCGCATGTGCTTGCATGTGTGGATGTGCCCATTAAGAGCATGAGCTTTCTGCTACTGGTGAAATCCAGTCCGTTAACTGATAGGAGAGGTGTAGCCTAGGAATTTCAGGGCCATTAATATTCCAGTTTTATATCATGTGCTATTAGCTGTATCTCTTCCATACTAGACATACAATGTATTGGAGCCACTGTGGATCTATGGACATGTAGATGAGTGGTCCTTCCTGTATCTCTCCACTATTTTAACCAATAGCAAATCACATGGAGATGGTGTGCAGATTGTTCCCAGGTGTTGCTTTCATACAGGGGTGGAGGGAAGGTAGGGCCACTCTACCTGAGAGTCTCCCTAGCACTGCCTCTAAATGAGTAAGTTGCACAAAGGACCTTGCATCAGCTCTCTGCATCAGAAGTTTGTATCAGGCTATGAGAATCTGTTAGGCTCTTACATTACTGCCTGATGCTCCCTAATTCAGACTCTCCCTAAAAGTTCCTGGCTCCTACTCCCATGTCTTGGTCCAGGCACCACAGGGGGCCCAGGTGTCTGAGGCTGCAGAGAACTGGAGCTGCCAAACTACACTGTGGAAAGGGAGTGTGGTGGTGTGGTCATCCCCTTTCCAGAGCGGGTAAGCTATTCAGAAATCACTTCAGACTTGGAGATATAACCCAAACAGTAATTATATATCTTACATTATATGTTATTCATATATTCATGAATTATATGTTACATATATTATATGTGACATTATATGTTATTCATATATTACATTATATGGATAATTGTATCTTACATTACTGCCTGATGCTCCCTAATTCCCTAACTAAATAAAATCATTAACAAAGAGGGAAGAAAACTAAAAACTTCCACAAACTCATAATTTCTGTACTTTTGACAGAAGACAGGGTGGAAAGGACAAGGTGAGGGGATTATGTATTGATTGAGTAATGCTGGTAAGTTTATTGAGCTATAACTGGTTGACAAGTGTCTCATAATAAAGTTGTTTGTCTGATGCAGCCTGAATAAACAGTGTATACTGGCATAAATTTTCAGTACAGTATTAGAGGTGAATATGTAAAGGAGGCTCAGAACACCCTGCATTATTGCTCCATAACTCAACGTGCATACAGTGATGTCTAAAGAGTGGCAGTCAAGCATTTATAGATTCTTAGATTAACACCAACCAAATGTGCACCGGTGTCACTGTGTATTTATTAATACACATGACAATTTGGTATGCTTTGATTATATGCAGTTGTCGCCTTTAATGTCTTGCCAATTGTCTTGATATCTCAGACCTCAGTGTCTGTGGTATCTCTTAGAGTAAGTATAAGGAACACTGCTACTACAGAAATAATATTATTGATAACTTAAAGGAAAATAGGAGAGTTTTCTGAAGGGTTGCCACTGTGTTTCAAAGAGCATCCAAAACACACATGTTCCACAGACCACTGAATGCTCACCTCAAAATCACAAACACACAAACTCCCACATGAACCAGGAAATTAGGGAAACCTGTTTGTAGCAGATTATTTCAACATGGTGTGAATAATACCTTTTGCACAATCAGCTCCATGAAATCCTGGAAAACAGTGGCAGACTCCAGATACACACTCGCCATTCCCATGGCAGTTACGGGGACAATCCTGCACTGAATCTGAAAAAAAGAAGAGACCCAGGACACATTAGTAGTTCTTTTTCCAAGTGTCAGAGAAAACATGTTGTATATGCATATGGAGTTTGGGATTCAACCTAATGACAAGAAGTTACATTTAAAAAGTTCCAAATATTAACCTTACTTGTTTTGATGTTTTCTAAATATTTTTGGACCCTAAGTATTTTAATTTTTAAAATATGTTTTTAGCCTTTTTTAAACATGTCCAGATATCTTCATTTTTAATTTGGTCAATGTTGTCTTCCACACATCTGTGCCAGGAATTGTATAAATAGCAACAGTTTTACAACATGTAGATAGAACTTCGGACTTGAATTAATAGAACCATAAATATTGATCTCAATTTTGTTTTGTATCAAATTAAAAGAAATAAAAGGTTTCACATATAAATTATATTTACTTTTTGGGCTAAAGTCATACTGTAGGATTATGAACACAGAACAAATTTTAACTAAAGTAAAGAATTCTAAGAGAGAAAAGGGACCTCAAAGTAAATGCAAACTCAAATGATAACCATCATCTTGGCCTTTCAATACTATTCACATTTGTGGTGCAAACAGAAACTGGAATGTGTAATACTTTAAAATGTCACTTTGTTGTTTTTGAGGAGGAAACTCAACTGTGGAAGCATTCATTTCCTTTGCTCTACCGTACTTTCCTTGTATTCAAAAGTACAATGAATTCACTGTGGTGTGTGTGTTGACATCTTTTCTGCCATCCTTTCTCCTATGCCATATCATAGAAGCTTTCAGCTCCCTTGTGATGGTGAAAGTTTTGATAATAAGTAAGTGTGGAAGAACCTCTGAACTAGATAAAATACTGTACTTCTCTCTGCATTTCAGGCCAATTACTATCATTGCTCTATCAAGATGTCTACCTGACTATTATCTCTTTGACCTTCCTGTAAACTGTAGTCCAGACCAGGCAACTCTTTAAGACAAGCAGCTTATTGCGTCTCAAGCAATAGTTTCTGTGAGACCAGTAGAAGTACACCAAATATTAGAGGTATTGCACGTGTAGCTCACATAACATTTAGAATTATGAGGCACCTATACATGAGCAGTGAGGCTGCTCTGACATGCTGTAATTAAGTGAGTCATCTGGAGTGTAGTAATTACCGAGCTCCAGCAGACTCCAGCACCTTGTGTATCAGCATCCCCGCACTTAAATATGGCGGTGGGGTTGCTTTAACTAAAGCTTGTTCAACCCCCATTTTTAAGCACGGGGACATTGATACATGAGACACTCCAGGTTCTTTAATTAGAGACAGTCCAACTGCTTTAATTAAAGTGCGTCCCCTCGCCCCCCCGCCACTTCTGGAACCTGTGTATAAACGCCCAGGAAAAATACTCTCTACATGTGCATATGTGGACATATACATGATTGTGTGCATGTGTGACGACTTATAAAACCATTTGTGGATTATGAAGGAAAATTACCTTTTGTATCTTACATTTCAGTAACAAGCAACAAATACTCCTAAACTAAAGGTATATGGTTTGGCTATCCTCTCATATCAATGTTAATCAGGACTTGCTCCAGTGAATCCAACATGAAATCAGGAGAAGAGAGGAGGAAAATTAAATCCATGATATATCCATACTAAGAGAATTCATCTGCCTTAAAAATAGCTTTCTCTGTTTTTCATTATTTGACAATCTCCTCCATAAAGTTTGGGATTATTCTCTCCCTCCTTCTTGCTGAACAGCAATGACACTCCCAACACAAAGAGGAGTATATAAGGTTCACAAAGTCTAGCAGTGCTACTTCTTAATTCCTTAATCAGATGGTGAAGAAATGAACTTTCACAAAGCAGGGAAAACTCCTTCTCAATTTCTGATATTGCTGTGAGAATGGGGAAGTTATTCAAGCACTTCACCCAACTTCATCAAGCTTTTGATAAAGCTAGATGCTAATGCTAGATCGAACCCTTCCCTTCTAGCCTCCACAAAGCCTCAAGCTTCTCTCTTTACTTTGCCCCTGAGCACAGGCTGTAGGCCCTTTGCCCTTCATTCCACTTCTTAATGGAAAGGTCCAATTTTGAATGCTGGAGGAGATATTGGGGAGGGGGGGGTGGTTGCTTGACACTCACCTCTGCCTCCTTTTGGGGTAGTAGCAATCAACAGGCCTGTCTCCTCTGTGAAGAAAGAGGGAACTATGCATAGCACATTCTACAATATCACAGGCACCTAATTTCACCTATTTTGATATTATTCTACCTGACTGTTAGGAACTATACCAAAGCAGCTGTTGAGGGGGAAGGAAATAAGAATCGATACAATGAGAGCGATAAGGCCATTTAAATGGACCCCAGGATAGCTATTAACTAAAATAAGGCCACTGGGGAATGACCCTACCTGGAGTCACCTAGACTAGCAGGGACTACTTTTCCTAGACCTATATTGATCCTTCTTGGCCTCTTGTGGGCTCAGATCAAGCATACTAAAATCTTAGAGACAGCAAAAGGGTTGGGTGGTTTGCCAGCACCAACTCAGCAAGAACACTCTAATGGATATACACAGAGAAAGTTGCTGAGTTTACAGCTAGCTGGCTCTCTCTCCCAAACCAGACCTGGTAATGATAAGCATGACTAGAAGTTACTAGAAGTTAGTAAAAACAGAAAATATTTATGTTTACGCAAGAGGAGATGCACACACAATCATTTACTGATTTTGCCCTTTACTCTATATTCTACTTATCTTTGGGTGAATAAACATGAGAAAAGTAATAATGGTTTTGGTTTTTTGAGCCACTTCTATCAGCTTGCTGCTAACAGGTTCCCAGAGGAAAAGGGCTTCTAAATTACTAAACAGAGCTAGACCTGTTGGATTAACATGGTTAGTAAGCAGGAGGGCTATAGCCTCAGAGGTCCAGTCTAAGGGTAATATGATGGCATTGTTCTATCTGCAGAGAGGGAAGGTAGCAAAACCCTGAGGGTTGTGCTCAAGAGGGACTGAAAGGAGTCTACCGTACAGTTTACCCTATAACTGGGATACCATCTACATTTTTTTATGAGGTTTTACTGTGTTGGAGTAGTGAGGTCTCCACAGGGAGCTGCCTGTGACAACATCCAAAAGCTTTAAATGGCCAATCAGAATGTGGCTTTTCAGAACCAGTCAATAAAACTGCTTATTGATTCACAACTGTAGGAATAAAATGTGTCCATTGTAAAGCCTCTGGGTATATTCATTTTCCTTTGAAAGACAGTTACACAGCAACAGGATCACAGCACTCTGCTGCAATACCAGAAGCATAAGCATCTACAACTCACCCCTCAAAAGATTTCCCTCTTTTTCTTACTTTCTCTCCACATTAATCAAATGATTGCACTACTATGAAATGTTCACAAAAGGAAGAAGCTGACAGAATGCATTCACATTTAATAGAGATAACCAGAGAAAAAAAGTTCTCAGCATGGAGGCATACATACCCAAGATAACTGTGCTGAAAGAAACCATCTCTTTGTCTTTGCCGTCATTGTAAAACGCCAAGTGCCACAAACCCACATCCAAGTACTGAACAAAAACAGCTTCATTCTGAACAAGAGTCTGGATACTGCGCCGCTCTCGAGGGGATTCCACCACACTCCATTTCTCCTTCCCATCCAGACGTTCCATGAAATCATACTGAGGGGACAAACAGACACAGAAATACTCAAGTGTAGCAATGCCACAGATCAAAATCTACAAGATGCCTTGCCTTTGCCTAAAATGCCCTTTTTTAACAACCTTTTTTGAAGAATGCATCTCGTTGAAGCTAGCCTTTCCTCATTCATCATGATACTACTAACAAACCACGATTTTTATTCTTTCTGATTCTGTGAACCAGAGTTACGCATTTTCATTCTGCAAAAATGTTGAAAGGTGCCCAATTTAAGCATTTCCACAGCCTGAGTTTCAGAAGAGTTGCTAATTAGTTACAGCAAAACAAAAAAATGAAGTGGACTTGTTACCAGCAATAATTTTAACAGCCAACAAAACTTCAATAAGCTTTCATGTTACAGGGGGTAAGAAAATTGTAAGAGAATTCAAGATGCAACTCCTCCCTCATATCACAAATACAGCATTGTTCAATTGATTCAGCTGATTAGGATGATTTTTCACCTCTTTCTGGAGCATCAGGTATTGACCACTGTTAGAAGCAAGATGCAAGAGAAAGCAATGATTTGATACATAGCAAATTTAGGTTCTTATATAAATTTCCAAAATCAGGAATCCTCATTTAATAACAAACTTACCGTATTTAGTTTATTAAAAGATGAGATCCCCCCCTCCCATTTAACAGGCCTGCCCCACTGCCTTTGCATGTCCTGCCACTCCTCCCCTGCACTCTCCAGTCTCTACCTCCCTACAACACTTCTCCCTCTATCTTGCCCACTGTCATGCTCCTCTCTACCTTTGCTCTGTGCAGTAGGCTCCATCCCTGTTACAGCCTGGGAAATGCTGGAGCTATGGGCCAGGCTGGAACAGCAGTGCCGGCTCCATGCTGCTGCTATAGGGTCGAGCTGGAGGCATGCTCTGTGCCCCAGGCTGCACCGGGGCAGAGCCTACTGGTATGGAGGAAATGTAAGGGGAGATGTGGGACTTGAGGGGCAGGCACTGGGGGAGAGGCTTGGGGGGAAAGAAGGGAGGAAGTGGGG